AACCTTATAACTCATTGTGTTATATCACTTGTTCCTTTTCTTGAATTGCTTGAATTGCTTGAATTTCTCGATTTTCTTGAATTCCTTGAATTCCATCATATTCAAACCTTATAACTCTTTATGTTATAGCACTTGTTCCTTTCCTTGAATTTCTTGAATTGCTTGAATTTCTGGAATTTCTGGAATTTCTGGAATTGCTTGATTTTCTTCAATTCCTTGAAGTCCATCATATTCAAACCTTATAACTCATTATATTATATCACTTGTTCCTTTCCTTGAATTTCTTGAGTTTCTAGAGTTTCTTGAATTTCTTCAATTGCTTGATTTTCTAGAATTTCCTTGAGTTTCTTGAATTGTGAATTTGTGGATCGTGGTTATATCTCAATTTTCAAAACTAATTTTAATCCATGGAATAAGTATAGGAACATTAATCTTATTTGATGAGCCAGATGAGTGCTTCCATAATTCTATTAGTTTTTAAAAATATCATTTTCAATATGATCATGTGTTAATTCGAGATTTTTAACTAATGAGTTTTTCTTTGATTTTACTAATAATAATAAACGTTCAAGTAAATTTCGAAAACCTAGTCGAAGATGGAAATTTTCATCAACTGACACAAATCCAAATGCTTTTTTAAAATAATTTAATCCGACAATATCAAAATCAAGTATCTGTATTAATTGAGCTACTGTTTTATTGATGATAAAGAAGACATATCTTGAATAGCTTGTATTCGAAAAGATTGCATAAATCTTTATTTAAAGTTTTTTCTAAAAAAAACGTAGAAGTTATCATGACTTAAATTCATCAAGTTAAAAAATATCCATTATTGGTGTTGTAGAAGTATTATTCTTTGCAGTAAAATACTGTTGATTGTAAACCTAAATACAGTTAACCTCTATTAGTGAACACTTCCTTATTCTGAACACTTTCTGGCCAGACGGAGTGATTTTTACTGGAAATGCACCTCTATATTGTAAACACCTCTCTATTCTAAACATGAACACTTCTTTTCCAGTCCCTCTAGCTACTGTACACCTTTCTAATGTGAACACACGTGCACATTTTTTCTCTGTCTCTACCTACTGTCTATTATTTATCTCTGATGCGCTACGACTAATAACACTTTGTGTATTAGACTAGACTATTGTGTGCATAAAAAAGATGTCATCACGATATGATCTTACTTTGCAACAGAAAATTGAATTAATTAATGAATCAGAATCAAAATTAACTGATGTTGTTTATATTAATTCAAAAATAAAAAGACAAACAACATTAGAAGATTTTTGTAAATAAAGCTAAACCTTGTCTTGTATCTGAAAATTTTTCAACTAAAAAAAATTAAATAAAAATAATGAATAAAAGAATGAATAGCTCACACTTAACTCAAGACTAGTGCAGCAGTAAACATTCTGGTTTTTTTCTTCAGTTCACAGCAAAATGTGCGCCACCTCTTTAAAGTGAACACCTCCTTATAGTGAACGCTTTTGAAAAGTTCTAACAGTGTTCACATTAGAGAGATTTTACTGTATGAGAAAAATACAGAAATCAATTTTGTTCAATATTAAATTAAGAGTTACTTTATTCTAAATCAAAAGAGATATAATCATAAGTAGTTTAATTTCAAATACAAAAATTATCATCTAAGTTCTTTTCATCTCACTGTAAGACAAATAGAATACAGAAAAAAAAGACCAAAAAACTTCTTTTTTAACAACGAAAGAAAAACAGAGTTAAATATGAAGAAAAAGTAAAAAATATCTAACATGAAATTGAATAAGGAATAAAATACATATTATATTTTCATATGTTTAGATAAAAGAAAAATATGAATTGCTAAATAATTTTCTATCATAATCATAAATTTCCTATTCTTGAGATTCATCTGTGTTATTTGTTGACGATAATCATTTCTTTTTCACCATCACTCTCATAATTTTTGAAGACAGTTTTCTTGATGGTGATCGGAATCGCTTCGGAGCTGCACGGGTTGATGTTTTGTTCTTGTTTGACATCGTATGCAATGGACCTGAAGAACCAGCTGATGTATTTGATTTACGTGCAATTGAGTTTTCATTAATAATTATATTATTTTCTTTTCCATGTTTCTAAATATATAAGAAAAAAACTCGTAGAGATATTTTTATTATGAGAAACACTTACCATTTTCGAAAGTTTTATACATTGTTTTTCTATGATATGTCGATAAAATGATGACAATTTGAAAAAACTTAGTGAAAGAAATAGTAGTTTGAAACGATGATGACATTGACATGTTAAAATACAAGTAAATATATTATGGAATAATTTATTGATTTCCAGAAAATAATGTATAACTTCATCCAAAGATAAATCATCATCATTATTAATTGTACTCCACTATTTGTTAATTCATTCTTCAACATCAGTTTTATGATCAATTTCATTCAACTTTTTTTGTATTGGTGGTAATCTTAATCGTGTTGATGATATATCATTTGCTGATGGAGTAACGGATATTGATACTGGTAGAGGTGGTTCAATTTGTGGTTGTGTTTGTTCGGTAGATGTGGTCGTATTACAATTTGAAGATGAAGGATGTGGATGTGATGAGAAGATTTACACCCACAACGACAGGAAAGATTGGTCCAAGTCCAACCTGTTAGGTTACGTAGTAAGCGTCGACTAAGTAATCGTCCAAGAAGTCAAGTACAACGACGCAGACGAGGTCCACGACAAATTCGTTTAAATGATTTTATGCCAACTGAATTACGTGAGTCTTCACCAAATCTTCCACCTGAATTTAATATAGCTACAATAACGGCCCCGACAATAACAACAACAACTACTATGAACATTCCACCAGATGCATTACCGCAGCGTGAAATATTTGCTCGAAAGAATACAACTCAACCTTTTACAGTGAATGAAAACAATCAAAATCAACGATAACGTAAAACTACGTCTTCATTTAGACGTCGACAACGTCGTAATAATCGATTTGTTGTATTAGCTGATGAAAATGATAATTTATCTGATGTAGAAATAGAAGTTAAAAACGAATCGATGCCGTCACATACTAATAAGAAACAAAGAAAAGACAAAAATAACAAGAAGATTCGTCGATATCTTGAACCGAATTGTATATTAAAATAGTTAGAAGAACATTCAAGAAGTCCAAAAAATACGATAAGTGGTCGTGGTAATCAAGCATATGTATTAGCTTCAGTTTCAATTTATGATGAATGGGTTCGAAATAATTATGAATTACAAGTTTGGCAAGCTTATTTAAAAATGGGTACTGAGCAAAAACATTGGGCTAAAGAAGTTGTTCGCCGTACAAAAAGACGAGATAATGTTATTAATACTCGATTTGTTCAAAAGAAAATTAATCGATTACCAACTGTTATTGCTGAAGCACGTGCTACTATTTCAGAATTACAAATTCAATTATCTACATATTGGGATGCAAATCATTTCTGAAACTACAAATCAAAGATTAGCTTAAACAACAGCTAATATAGTAGCCAAACAATTATAAGTCGATAGAACACGTCAAACAATCGCTGTAGGAAGTATAGAAACAGATACAGATAATGAATTAGGTACAGGAACTACAGGAGCTGCTCCAACAACTACTGTTAAAAATTATGTACGTAAACCAGTTGAACGTATTAAAAAATATATATTAGAATATATCCATTTTTGTACGCAACATGTTAAAAAGAGGGCTCAAACTCGAATACAACTAGCTAAAGCTCAAATGGTAGAATATAAAGCTTTAGAAGATTTCGAACAAATAGCCATCCTAGCCCAATGGAACACTCATTTCTTGCTTAAACCTAAAGTGAAGCTATGGTTAACTAAAAATAAAAATTATCAAATACTATCAAAACGTGTTGAATTAGATATGCCTCCAAAAATTATTGATAAAGTTGATTTTTCTTTTAAAATTGATGAATCAATTATAAGTCAAGATGAAGTACAAGCTATGTATAATCAAATGCGTCAAATTACGAAAGATTTTCGTATTCAAACAATGAAATTATATGTTCAATCAGCTGCTCGAGAAAATGAAAT